ATGGCCATGTGTACCAGGTGTGTGGGAAACTCTTGGGAGCTACAGTGCACTCTGACCTGCCCAGGGCTGTTGACATGGTCATCATTGCCAGTTTCTGTGACTGAAGTCATCTCCCCTCCACCACCTAGCAGGTCCCCACAGTGTGCATGTGTCACCCAGTTGGTACAGGAAAGCTGACCTCAGGACCCCTCCCTTGGTAGAAGAGAATTACCAATAGCAGAGCCCATAGCAGGCCACTTTTCCTCCCCTTGCCAGGTCAGGCAAGTACGTGACCCAGCTCTGACCAGGAGAAGCTGAGCTGGACTCTGCTGGGCCTCCTCAGGGGTATTTCGCATTCTCACAGAAACCATCAAAACTATCAATGTGGTGCTTGCCAGACCATGGTACAGGCTACTTCCTGCTGCTCTGGAATAAGGGGCAGTAAGTTTGACACCTTTCATTCTGGGGGTTCTGATCCCTTGTATGGAAAGATGGTGCTATGAATGAAGCAAATCGCTTTTGTGGGGCTCCCTACTTTTTGTCTTGCCCTCATGGCAACAAGAGAATGGCAGAAAATAGCTATAGTTGAGGTTGGCCTCATTTGCTCTGGTTCCTGAGTCCTTTAGGGAAAGACTTGTAGTCTGTCTGGCTTATTTGTGGGTCCAGAGCTCAGCCTGAAGAAGGCAGTGGTTGGTATGAGGGCCTCAGTGTGTCTAGGGACAGCAAAAGGTCTCTTGTTCCCAGGGATTTGTCCAGATCTTCCAGCTTTGTTCAGAAGCTTTTGCAGAATCAGCTCAGAAGCCAGATCTCTAAAATCTAGGATATGTAGGTAAGTTCCAGATGAAACCAGTTGGGTAAGGTGAGTGAGTGCAGAAATACTGAGTGAAGTAATGTAAATGGGGTCTAGGAAACTGGAGGGCCTGAGGCACTCGTAGGGAGACGTACACGTACACAGTATTCCAGCAACTGTGTTTCCTGGGAGGAATCCAGAACTCCACAGGAATTACTGGCCTGTTCTCTGTGGCCAGGAACACTGGCAGTACGTAATCTCCAGGTTTTTGATTCTTCGCCTCCTTGAGCTGTTGTCCTAGGACTAAGAGAAGGAAGATCCAGGCATCTTGGGATGTGGCTTCTGGGCTGCAGCTAGTGCTCCAGTGTCTCCAGATACCGTGGCCTTCGTCCTTGCAGTTTTCCAGCCATGGTGGCAGGGCTTTCCCTCCAGAGCTCCAAGAAGAGAGATGGCAGGATCAATATATGGATCAGATCTTCTAAATTGTGGGGTCTTGTGATTTAAAAAAAAAATTGGAAACTGTTTCCTCAAAAGATAAATAAAATGTCAGTTCAGCTAAACTTGTGTGTTGTCGGTAGCTGTCCTTCACAGGACGGCATGTCTGGGAGAGAGCAGGAGCACCCAGGACCACGTGCTACACACACCATTCCCACACTCCAAACTGCATGTAGGCCTGCTCTGCACCAGAGCAGAGAGTGAGTTCTTGTAAAAAGTGAGCCTGGCCCGTCTGGTCCCGGGCTTCCTGCCTTACCATGCGATTTCTTCTGCCATCCATCATGAGGCACTCACCAGGGGCCAGATAGGGCTGCCTGGTTGGACTTTCACCCCCAAAACTGGGAGCTAAATTGACCTCTCTCCTTCTCCTTCTCCTTCTTTTAAAATAAAGCAATGTCTTTATTTTACTTTATGTGGTGCCAAGGATCAAATCCAGTGCCTCACGCATGCTAGGCGAGCACTCTACCTCTGAACCACAACCCCAGCCCTTAACCTCTTATAAAGTACTGAGCACAGGATTTAGAAGGCTGAGGCAGGAGGAACACAGGTTCGAGGCCAACCTGGGCAATTTAGTGGGATCCTGTCTCAAAAAGGGCTGAGAATGCAGCTCAGAGGCAGAGTGCTTGCCTAGCATGCTTAAGCCCCGGCTTCCATCCCCAGATCCCCAGTCCTGTCCAAACAACAACAACCAAAAAAAAAACAAGTACCCAGATGTAGGTCTTCTATTACAGAGACCCAGGCAGCAAAAGACAGTCCCTCAGCCCCCAGGTAACTGGAATTATAGGCATGCAGGGCTTACAGCGAATGCAGATGTCCTAGAAGTCTTGCCTATCGGGGTCCTACCTGCAGTGGTCACCACATGAGTCACACCCTCTCCTGCCATGCATGTCCCAACTCAGTCTCCACACCCACTGACGACACACTCTTCTAGCATGAAGGCTAACCATGTGTCCTTCACACCTTACTATTCTGAATTGACCTTCTCCATCCCAGGAAGCTACCAACTGCACATCACCTGCCCAGCGACATCAGCCTGTCCCCAGTGTTCGCTCTCCCAGCCTGAATCTGTGGTGCCATGAGTTCTTCCCATGGGGCTTAGAATAAACCAAACACCACACCCCAGCTTGCAGCGCCAGTATGACCCAGTTCTTGACCTCAAGCCCTGCCGTTTTCTCCTGACCTCATGGCTCTCAAATGCTCAGGTCATCTCCTAATTCACCTCTTTGGAAAGGCCTTCCCAGCTACAATGTGAAGTGATGTTCATGGCTTTCTGCCATCTCCCTTGAATGTTCTTCAGAATCCTAGCTTCTGTAATCATCCTATTCTTTGGTCTGTATGTTAATTCTCTCTATTGCACACAGCTTGAGATGAATATGTATACTCCAGTCAACAGGCAAGGGCCTGGCACACAGGTGGTCCTCAGGGACATTTGTCTCGTGTTTAGTTATTCTGCAAGATCCGTGCAGGGCCCATATCATAGCCCCACCATCAGCTGAACCCTTCAGAGGGAGAGAGAAGAGCACCATATGGGAAGAAAGTACTAGATGCTCTCCCTGAGCTCAAGCCTGAGTCTTCGCACATACTGATCTCACACCGTGTGCATTATTGCTGTGTACTGGAGACAGCTGGCCCCACAGGGGAAAAGCACGTGGGAAATATGGCATTTTCAATGGGTTTATCAGGACACAGCCCCATCCTAGGTCGAGATGCATCTGTATAGCCAATTTAAAGATTTTGTTGAATTAAATTTGTATTGAAATTTTCCAGAAATATTTTCCCACATTTATAAAATAAAAGTCACATAAAAATTCAAATATTTGATTCTTCCAAAACCAGGAGATCAGGGAAAAACCATGTTAACTCCACTGTGCTTTCTCTCAACTCCTTAAAAAGTAAGAGACCTAGCCAAGTGCAGCGGCTCACACCTGTAATCCCAGCCTCTGGGAAGGCTAAGGCAGGAGGCTCATGAATTGAAAGCCAGCCTCAGCAAAATCGAGGTGCTAAGCAACTCACCTGTCTCTAAATAAAATACAAAGTAGAGCTAGGGGTGTGGATCAGTGGTTGAAGGGCCCTGAGTTCAATCCCCAGTACACACACAAACACAAAAAAGTCATAGACCAGGAGCTAG